ATAGTATGTGTGGCTGAACAGTTTTATCTGTGCGTCTAACATAAGTTTGTCCATCAGTGCCCTTTTTTTTTTTTTTTACATACCAACACTTTTTTTTGTTGCTAACATTTCTGTTACGTACTCTTTTGTTTTATCATACTAACTTTTTCATGCTAACATTTTTTTATACCAATGTTTTTAAGGCTTACGTTCATGCTATCATTTCTTTGCTCATGCTAACTCTTTTTAAACTATCGTTCCTTTTTTCAAGCCGTTTCTTTTTTATGTTGTCATTTTCTTCACCGCTTTAGCCCCTTTCCCCCGCAGGAACTCATTTCAATCATCATTTATTTTTCATCATTTTAGGATTCTAAAAAACCTTGGCGCATTTCCACTGAAATTACCCAGGGGAAAACACTTTCCCTCAACCCCAAACTTTCTCTGAAAAAGTACCTAGTCGGGGGGGTAGGACTTTTCAGATTACCCGGAATTCTTGAGGGGCGGGGCTGTGGGCTGAAGAACACTGATTGGTGGAACACACACTTGCAGCGTTCAGCAGCATGTAGACAGTGATATTCAATAGGCTCCGCCCACAGTCTCTCATCCACCATCACTAACGTTATGTCTGACACAAGGACAGCACGCTAGTTCAGCTGATAGTGAATTGTTCCTAATGAGCTCAAGTGACAGCTGTCTGTCTGGAGACTAACTTAGCCTGACACTTATCTTAAAATACTTTACCCTGAGCTGCTGGCTGAGACAAACAGCCCAACTCTCTACAACAGCACGTAACCAGCCAATGAGCTGGCAGAGCCAAATACAGGACACACGCTGAATCATCTACGTCATCACGCTAATTTGAACAAATTTTCTGGAACTTTGAGGTGCGGTGGAAACACAAACCATTCGCATTTCCAGGAATTCTTCTACCCAGGTAAATTAATTCCTGGAAATAAAAGTTCCTGGAAATGTTGTGGAAAAGGGGCTTTTAATGCTAATGTTTCTTTTTTCATTCTGATTTTCACACAATTTTTTTTTTTTTTAATGCCGATGTTTTTTTATGCTATTAGTTTTCATGCTATTGTGTCATTTCTCATGTTCATGTTTTATTAATGTTGTACTGTATGTATGGATGAATGGATGTCAACTCACTGCAAAACCAATTTACCTACGGGTATGAATAAAGTAACCTAACCTAACCTCTTATTTTCATGCTAGTGATTTATTTATTCTACGGTTTCATGTTTTCATTCTAAAGATTCACTCTTTTTCCCTGATGTTTTATTTTTATTCTTGTTTACCTGAGTGTGTATCACTTTTACCTGGAGAGCTAACTGTGTATCCTGTGTTAGCATTAGCACTGCTGCTAGCTGCCATGTCTCACTGGAATATATCACGTTCACTCTGTCATCATAAAATCTATCAGGATGAACTCAAGTCTCGTGCGTGTCGACCTTTAACAGTAACTTTACTGCTGAGCACATTTTTTCCTCAACACTGACAGACATCATGATGTCATAGAGAAACGTTTTCGGCCCTCCAGCCATCTGTAATTATCCTTTATAATTTTGGTCACACCTCATCTCCTCTCTGATAATCAATTAATTGATCAGTTGTCCTCTGACCTTGTCTCCGTCCAGCATGGTGGCGGTGGTCAGCAGGTCGTTGGGACCGAAGGGAAGCTGCTTCTGTTGACCGTCGATGGTCATCACTAGTCGACCCATCTCTGGGTCGGGTTTTCTCCCAGCTGCTGTTTCAGCCGACTGGTTCTTCTTCACCTCCTCATCCTCAGGCTCCTTCTTTCCTTCCTGTCCTCCATCTCCTTCAGGTATGTCCTTCTCCTCTTCCTTCTGGTCGTCATCCATTTTCTCAACTTTGATTTTAACCTGCAGGAAAAAAAAATTCAGATTTAGTTTATGAAATAAATGATGTCACAAAAAAGTATGACTAAATATCGTCGTCAACAAACCTTTATCACGTGACAAAAACAAGACAAGACACAATGTAAATGGTGGTTATGTGACGATAACTATAATTAAATACATAATGCAATATTGTTGACGAATAAAAACGAGACTAAATGTGGTTTACAAAATCAAAACTTTGCAAAAATGTCTCTTCATTTTCGTTGACCAAAACGAAACGAGACGAAATAACGTTATAATGTTTAGTCACGTTATTATCATTTTGCAGTATTTCTGTTTCCTTGGCTGTGTGTCGCACTGCACAGACGCAAGCAACGTCACTTCCTCAATCCTCACTCGCGGCGTTATTTGGAAAATGCAGCTGCGGTGAGCTAACAACTTCAGAAACATAGTTAAGTCTGACAAAGAAAGGGACCGATGGCCAGGCAGGCGGGGATCGTCTTTGGGAGAGAAAAAAGACGCGACCTTTGGACACACTTTCACTACATTGAAGTGGAAAAGAAAACGGAATGTGTTGTGGAAAAAGATGGGGAGAAATGCGGCCACAAAATCACAGGAAAAAACATCACAAATCTTAAGAGACATCTCAAGGCATTCCACAATGAAATCGAGTTAAGTTAAGACATTAATATTACTTCACTTTCTATTTTAGAGAGCTCATGCTAACTCATGAGGCTGTGGTTAATGTGTCACATTTTAACATTAGCTTTAACGTTAGACGTTAGCCACTGGAGCTGAAAATGACTCGTGTGTGTGTGTGTGTGTGTGTGTGTGTGTGTGTGTGTGTGTGTGTGTGAGTGAGTGAGTGAGTGAGAGAGAGAGTGTGTAAAGTAGGGGGTACACGTGTTTGAGATCATAAACGGTTATGAAAACTCTAAACGTTTAGAGATTTTTGTACACAAACTCACCCCTACTGTAAAGTGGGTTTCTCCAAAATATCTGCTAAATATAGTGTGTGGGAACTGTTGTATTCTTCTGTATCCACAAGAACACACATAAATATATATTTAGCTCTAACTGGGAGCTAATTTAGTTAATAAATAAACTTCCTCTGTCTCGTGCTAGCAACAATTACAGTCACGTGAATCCACTGATTCTAAACAGAGGTTCTTAGTTCCTACCTGACTGACTGACTGACTCCATATCAGTGTAATAAAGCATCCCTTGGTGGCCAAACACTGTCGCTAGTTTTGTCATTCACATAGCCATCACACTGAACTGAATTTGGCATCAACAACATGACTTTGAATACCTTATTCTAGACCCACATACATTTAAACAAAGGGTCAAAAGGTGTTTGCATTCACATGCCTCCCGAAACTACTGCTTAGTTTATGACTACTTCTGTTTTGATTATGTAGACTTTTTTTTTTCTTTTACGGACAGTCAAGTCACTCACTCGGAGATTGATTTATTAAGGTAAAAATCATAGCAAGGATTTATGCTAATTAATATTTGGAACAGTTAGATTTTCCAGAGGCTGCATCTGTCCTGAAATTCTATCTATTCTTGTGCTAGATTCCAGAAAGAGCATCAGTGAAGCAAGTCCCACCCAAGAAGATGGACAAGCCAGCTAGTGCTCAAGATTTCTGTGCCACAAGGAGGTACAACGACAATTCCCCAGAGCAACATACCAAAGAGGAGGGGATAGCGCAGTGGATAGGCCACACAGGACTCCCAGCACGTATTGTCGAAGATGAGGAGTTCATTGCAATGATGGCAAAAATAGACAAAAAGTTCAAAGTGCCAAAAAGACATAAAATTTTAAACTTGACTGACAAAATGTACAAAGAAGAGAAAGAAAAGATCAAACAAAAGCTGGCCTCAGCACGCAGAATAACTACAGGGTCGGATATTTGGACTAAAAAGGGGCTTACAGCATCCTTCCTGGGAGTCAGTGCCTGTTACTTCAACTCTGAGGACAACAAGGCTGAACACAAACTCCTGAACCTGAAGGAGATGGTTCACCCTCACAACACAGTCGATTAGCACACTCGTGGAGGAGTCAATGGAGGAATGGGGCAACCCCAGAGAGAAGGTCCACACAACAATTACTGACAGTGGCAGCAATATGGTGGCATCGTTCCACACACGTGCAGAAGTTGCCACAACTTCTGAAGAGGACTCAGAGGCGGAGCACAACGCCACCAATGATGACGATGAGCATCCGGAAGGGGAGGATGACAGGTCAGTCTGTGTATCAAACTATGCCCTTAACTCATTCAACATTTATGTAACTGGTCAAAACTTATTTATATTTTGTCTGAATAAAAAAGAAAATCCCATAGACAGTTAAAAGGTTAAAAATGATGCTATTAATTCATTCAGCATCTGGTCATGATTTAATTTAATATACATAAAAAAATAAAGAAGTTCATAGGAAGTTAAAAGGTTAAACATTTTAAATTTAAATAACTATTTCATTTGGTTCAATAATATAAGGGTTAAAATGGTTAAATATGTACTTTTTTTAAAATATATATTTCCATGGAGATACAACTACGGAGCCATAGAGAGGACCCCATGCATGGTTCACACCCTACAGTGTGGTGAATATGGTCCAGAAGGAACCCCCAATCCAAAGGTTGTTGGAAAAAATGAGGCACTTGGTGAACAAGTTTAGGAAGTCATCTGTCGCCACAGAGCGGCTGCTGCAGAAGTGTGCTCTGGTTCTGGTCAAAGACTGTCCCACCAGGTGGTCAAGCTGCTTTGCTATGATTTCACGCTGTCTTGAAGTCAAGGAGCACCTCATAGCTGTGGCTGAGTCCATGGCTGGGACATCCAGCAGCCCAGTGAGTGGCAGAAGACTGGGATGCTGAGAGACCTTCTTCTGCCATTTGCGGAGCACACTAAGTCACTTGAAAGTGACACTCAGTCGCTTTCCCTTGTTGTGCCAGCACTCCTTGATCTCAAAAACCATCTGTCAGAGTTCTCGCTTGCACGTGGGAGAACCTATAAAGATGCAGCTACTCTGGCTCAGAAGATGCTGTTCAGCATGGACAGGCGTTTTAGTGTGTTTCTTGATATAACAGCTGTCAACTTCTCACCACTTCCTGCAGCAGCATGCTTTGTGGACCCTTGTGTAGCTGAAACCCTTCTGGAAAATGATGACAACGAAGTACAGAATCTTGTCAGAAAGGCAGAGGACTACATTGCTCATCTTGTGCCACAAAGAGTGCAAGTAAGAGAAACCCCGCAAAACGGCGTAGATTTAAGTTCTTCAGTGCCAATCGTCCATCAAGGCCCAAGACAGCCAAGACAACAAACATTAAGCAGGAGATTTTAAAATATAAAGAAGGGCTGTCCGCTTCCCACCAGGCTAGTGCTGAGGTTGAGGAATCAAGCATTGAGTATTGGTTAACTCAGTGTTGTTCCACTGTGTTTCCAACACTGAAACCTCTGGCCTTGGACCTCCTGCCTCTCAGGCATTTACAGAGAGGGTCTTCAGTGTAACTGGTTACCTCTCTTGTGGCCGCAGGAACAGGGCTAGGACCATTTTGGAAAGAAGCGCTTTCCTCAAAATAAACAGGCCTAAATAGTGGTTAATGGCTGGCCTGAACAGACATGCAACAAGCATGCATGTACTGTATACACACACACACACACACACACACACACAC